CAATTCAATAGGCTGGCCTCAGCAGTGATAGGATTAAGTCCCCTTCCTTCAGTCCCTTTCAGGTGCTCCGCGGCTTCAGCATGAACTAAGAGATTCGTGTTCACGGAGAGGGTGGTTCAGGTGATCAATTTGATCCGGCCTACACTTGCGATTCTTCCTTCGTTGTTCTGCAAATGAAGTCACCTCCAAATTGGGGCAGTAAGTTACAGTTTTTATTGAGTGAGCTGCCATCTATGGGCTCCTCCTACTCAACCTGTCATTACCCCCAAATTTGGGCTCGGATCTTACTCAACAGATTCTTTTGAAATTACCTTTGGGAAACTTCCATATCACTGCAAATGCCCTTTTCTTACCAATCTGGTCAAAAGGCCTTAGGGTTTGATCTCTCGGAACTCAGGATATTTGCTCTCTTTGTAAAAGACTTCTAAAGATAACATTCAAATTAAGACTTTAAACAAAGTCAGGACCTTTTGCACGTAGTCCAAAAACAATGACTTACATAAGGAGATAAATCTTATCTTCTTCCTGAAACTGGCTAATGGGCAACCTTTACAAACATTCAAACTATTTCATTCAATATGACACAGCGTAGCAAGGTACTTTTTCCTGCAGCCTTTTCCCTACTAACTACCCCAGCTACAGCCCTTCTGGGCTTACTCAGTTCCCATTCAAGGGAGTTCTTTCCACTAGTACATCCTGAAACAGATTGCCTGGAGCCCAATTTGTTCTCTTGGCTCTTCCCCTTCTGGCTACATCCTTCTTGGCCTTTGTGCCAGGGGTTTTCTATTATATTACATAATTAACCTTGCTGCTTTGCTGTCTGGAACTTACAGCCTTCCAGCAGTCTGTACCCCTGCAGCTTACAGCCTTGCAATTTGTACTCACCCTCTTTTAAGTCAAGGGCTTGGGGGCCCTGCTACAGTATGCCAAATTGTTGTATAATTGTAAACAGGAAGAGGAGTAATCTGTATTGATCAGGAGTGGGGAAAAACGATGGTCTACAAAGTCTAAATTTTCAGAGAGAGCCTAAACTTTCAGGATGCTGTCTTTAGTCATTTTGAGGGATAGCTTAGAACCAGCTAGATGTCTTTTCCAGGGACAGTAAAGAACTCATTATAGTGTCAGCTGTTAACTATAAAGTTCTCATTCAGTTATAGACTCAATTACAGTATTTCAGAAGAGGGATGTCCCTTACCATCTGTATATATTTATTCATGTCAGAATATGTTTCTGCAAGTTGCATCATTGAAGCAAAATAGAGCATTCAGATATTATATTGCTTAAAGAAAATGTGATGTTTCCCCCACATGCTTTCATGATAAAAGTCTGCATGATGTTTTGTGAAAATTCCCAAATGAATCTGTCTTAAATGCAGTAAAACTATCATAGGAAGTGGTGGAAGGGACCTCAGGAGGTCACCTAGTCCAAGACAAGAATGGAACTTGGCAAAGAGGTTTGTAAAAGCTCCAAGCATTGGTTTAGCCTTGTTCCCTTTCACTTTAGTGGGAACAAAGTATGAGTACAAAAGACTTAGAAATCCACTTGTGTTATCGGATGCAGTGCAGCATATATTTTAGTGAAAGCAATCTTAATCCGTTGAACTTCTGAGTAATAAACTTGCAGAATGGTTACATCAGCAACTTGTATAGATAAATTAACCTTTGACCTCTCTTTTCTCTCTGCGCTTGCTCTGAAATCTAGCTGCTGGCGTTTCTGCTTGTCTGTTGGCTTTCTAAAACTACTAAAATATGTCAAACAGTATTTTTAAAAAAGAAAAAAGATTTTTGTTTACCTCAGAGTCTGTTGCAGAAGGGCATTCTGGTAAGTAAAAATATTGATTGAATCTTTCCTTTTAACAGCTAGTTTTAAAGAAGAATGTCTACTACAGTTTGATAAAAACTCTTGTCTTTGCAGTGTGTATATTTTGGGTGGGCTCCAGATTAATTGGTTTCTCATTTGAAAGTGTCACTTTTAGTTTAATATTCAGTTTAAATTAGAAAATATGTTGGATCAAAACAGGACAGAAGCTAACTTTAGACTTTTGCAAGAAAAAAATGGCATTTTGGGGTCTTCTCTAAAGATGGGAAGTTACTGATGGTACTGAGTATATGTTTCATCCTATACTGAAAATACTCACAGTAGGTCTCCAATGCATGTGATTTTTTTAAACATTTAGTGCTCTGTTGATCTGCGATTCCCATCAGAGCTATATTCCAGGCACTTCTGCAACATTTTCACATGCCTGTAATGTTGATTCTTTTTTAAAACAAGTCTGGACTTGCCTTGAGATTAGGAGCGTAATCAGAACCTCTTACACAATCTGGAATTGAAAAGCAAAGTATTAACATAGTATTTCATGTTCATTAAAGTTCAACTTTTTTCACAGGGATTTATGAAACATTTATTTTGAAGCGTTGTAACTAACTGCTAAAAACTAGATCACTAGTAGAAGAAATGTTTCTTGGGCTTTCTAGGGAAGTTTGAGTCTAAAAAGAGTTTTAGACCCTTAAAATTTATAGCAAAGCAGCTTAAAGACATTCCAAGGTAATAACTGAATGTATTCTGTCCACTTTTATGATAGAATGCAAAACTGTCCAGAATGCAAAGGGCACAGCTGAACACACATGTAGCTAAGGCGGGGCAGGATCTCTAATGGGAGTGTACAAGTGTAAAACTGCTCCCTGCAGGCTTCTTTTTTTTTGGCTCTCTTCACTTTTAAAAAGGGAGGAGACTATCTGAGGTATATAGTGGTCTTACTGGGTGCGTCCAGACGAGTGTGCCATGTGTGTTTTTCTCAGGGACAAACAGCAGCTACACATTTGTGCTGCTCCTTGTTGTCCCTGGGGAAAACCCCTGCATACAAATTGCCCCAGGTGGGGTAGGGGAGGTTTGTTTGTTTTTTTACATCAAGTTCCTGATATAGATTTTGTTCACCTGTTGAATCATAAATCCCAGCTTTGCTCCCTTGAAAAAAAAAAATCCACTGTTGCTGTACAAAACCTGTTGCTGATATTGAATAGACTCAAGCCTCACGTAGAGGTCATGCTGGCAAAAGAGCAAGCTGGGTTCAAAGCAGGGAGAAATACCGCAGAGCAAATCTTCAACATCCGAGTGTAATGATTTATGTCCTGCAGTGAATGACCACAGCTATGAATGAGGAAGAGAACAGACTTTTAATGATACCACAGCACAGGGTTCCTCTAGCACAGACCATGTGTTTGTCTCCATCTTAATTTCTCCTTACTCATCAGGGATCATATTCAAATTCCTCATGTGATAAGACGTTCCCTTATAAGGGACTATCTCCAAAGTCTAACCCTTATCACTACATCTTCTCTTTAAAAATAAAGAAATAAATAACCATCAAAATATAACAACAAAAACTCCACAACAACAATACAAGACAAAACCACCACCACACCAAACAATCCATAACCTACAGAGGAGAGGTTACCAGCACTTCACTCTGGAGTGAGTCTTTACCACTCACTTTCCTATTCTTCAGGTCCCTTTAACTTATTCACAGAACTGTATGAGCCTTTCTGGCCATTTCACCTGCCTCCTGGATCTCCGTATTATCAGCTCCTCATTGGAGATTTGAGGGCTCTCTGTTGCATCATTAGTATCTTCACCTTCTGAGGATGATGAGGAGGAGGAAGAATTAGGAACAGTTAACTGAGGCTGATGCAAGCCTTTATCTCCTGCCGATGTCCGAGAGCTAAGTGGAAGCACTAGTAGGTCTCATCACTTACGTCGAAGCATGCCCCCTTGGTCTGTCTGAACTAGATAGGACCGTGGGTGCTCTAGCTGTTTCACTGTACCCTGCTGGTCCCATGTTCTCGACAAGTAATTCCTCAGACAAACTCTATCACTTAGCTTTAGTAGTGAGAGCTCACAAGCTCTTGTACCAAAGTAGTATGTCTGTTTCTTCTTCTGATCTTCTTTCATTCTCTTTATGGCTCCCTTGTTAGGACTTTCCAATAAGGTGTTAGTAATGGACAGATTCGACTGTATCCGCCAGCCCATTAACAACTGTGCTGGAGACCAGCCATTGTCCAGAGGTGCGCTACGACAAGCCAGTAGTGCTTTATATAAATCCCCTCCACTGTCCAATGCGTTTGTCATTAGGTTTCTTACTGTCTGAAGAGATTGCTCTGCAAGCCCATTCGATTGGGGAAAATTGGGACTTGACATGGTGACAAAAATCCCAGTCCATGGCAAATTGCTTAAACTCTGCACTGGAGAACTATGGCCCGTTATCACAGAATATTTCATCTGGTATTTCATGCCTTGCAAATATGGCCTTTAAGCAAGCTATCACTGAGCGACTGCTGGTACACTGCAATGTATAGATTTCTGGATACAAAGAGTAATAACCAGTAACTATTAAATACACCTTGGAGTTCCACGTAAAGAGATCAGTACCCACCTTTTCAGAGGCCCTGTGTGGAACAGGGTGAGGCTTCAGTGGTTCTGCCTGCTGACGGTCTGAATTTCAAGAAGGTGGAACAGTTTTCCTGATTGATCCTTGGCCAATATATCACCTTTCTTGTTTGCTTCTTGCATTTCTCAATACCTAAGTGTCCCTCATGGATCTTCTGTAGCATTCCTCTTTGAAAGGTCTGTGGTATTATGACTTTGCTGCCCTTGAAAATAACTCCTTCAATGACTGAAAGTTCATGTTGGCAATTCCAGTAGTCCCACACACGCAAGTCACAGGTACTCCTGTCCTCTGCCCAACCCAAAATTATTATTTCTTTCAGGATCCCCAATGAGTGATCCTTTTCAGTTTCTTCTTTTATTTGTTGTAGCCTCCTGTGCACAATTGGAAGTGAACTAACAATCAAGCCAATCCAGGCTTGCATCTCTGTCTCGGAGGTCTTGTCTGCTTGTCCAGTAGAGGCTATTGCCCTGGACAGTGCAACTGCTGCAAACAGAAACTTGCCAGGTGTGTAGTTCACAACTAGGTCATACTTCTGCAGCTTAATCATCATTCTTTGAATACTTAAGGTGCAGTTGTTCAGAGGTGTTGCTAAACAGTGCTATCAAGGGCTTCTGGTCTGTTTCTACATTTACTTTCTGGCCATAAATATATTGATTGTGAATCTCTTGCATGCAAACAAAATTCCTAACAACTCTTTCTCAATCTGTATACCTGCTTTCTGTCTCAGTGATTTAGACACATAAGCAACAGGTTGCCATCGGTTGTCAAAATTCTGCAGTAGCACAGCACCTAATCCCAACTGTAAAGCATCTGTTGATATCTGTATTGGTTTCCCAGGGGTATAGAATTTTAATACAGGTTCTTCTATTAATTGTTGCTTCAACACCTTCCATGCTTCCTCCTGTTCTGGATTCCAGCACCATTCATTTTTACTCTCAAGAAGTATCCTTAGAGGTGTTGCTGTTGTAGACAGGTTTGGTATGAACCTTCCAACATAATTTACCATTCCCAAAAAACGTTGCAAGTCTTCTTTTGCCTGGGAGTGTGGCATCATTTCAATAGCCTGAATTTTTTTCTTGTCTGATTTCACCCCTTCTCTAGAAATAACGTCTCCCACAAATGTCAATTCTGTAGCTCCAAAAACACATTTCTGCCTATTGAGTTTCAAATTTACAGCCCTAGTTGTGTCCAACACCTCTCAGAGCCTATGTCATGCTCTTCCTTGGTGGAGCCCCAGATGATGATATCATCCATAGAGGTGTTTACACATAGAATATGCTTATAAATCATATGTATAGTTTTGTGACACACCTCTGGAGCTGAAACTATACCGAAAAGTAAACGCGGAAATTGATACCTTCCATATGGAGTATTGAATGTACATAATTTAGAATTTTCTTCTCTTAACTTCAGCTGCCAGGATCCCGAAGAAGAATCTAATTTACTGAAGAACTTTGAATTTGCAAACTGAGCCATAATCTCTTCTCTGGTGCGCAACTTAAAATGTTCTCTCTTTATGGCCTTATTTAGATCCCTTGGATCCAAGCTGTCCATTATTCTTCTCCACAATAACTAGGGAGTTCACCCACTCTTGACTCTTCAAACAAATCTTGAAACAAATCTTTATATTCCAAAATTAGGTCCTCATAACCCAAGCCAGAGTGTTCTAATGCAAGCACCCGTTTAACCAAATTGAGCTTTTCACAAGCTGCTAGGCCCAAAATAGGTGTCACCTCCTTAGGTACTACAATGAATGCAAAATTGTACACCACATTTTTATGTCTGAGGCAGGCTAGGCACTTTCTCTTGACTGGTATCTTTGCTCCTGAATTAGGCAGTTATGTTTACTTTTGTAGGCCTGTTTTGGTTTACTTTTCAGCCTCGTATAATCTTGCTCCAGTAAAATGTTCACCTGAGCTGCTGTATCCAGTTTGAATGGAATCTTTATCTCATGCACTTCCAGTGGCAGGATCCAGTCCTCAGTAGCTCTGCTTGATTCTACTGTATCTATATAATATTCTCCTCTGGAGTATCTTCAGCCATATGTACCTGGACTTTAGGGGCTTGCACTTTGCAACATTTGGCAAAATGATTATTCTTCCCACAATTAAAACAGAGTTTCCCTAATTGCAGCACATTGTTTGGAGCCATGCTGCATTCCACACCAGCTGCATGCTTGCTTGTACTCCATCTGCCCCTGAGTAGTAGGGGCGACCTCCATTTGAAGTGGCCTTTTCTGTCTGTCTTTACGGCATATTGCATGGACGACGCCTGCAGCTGCATTCAGTTTTTTGGCCTGAGCCTTCACAGTTTCAGCTGCTCTACAAATCTGTATAGTCGTTTTCTAGGGATAGGTCTCCTTCCTGTAGCAGCTTCT